AGTAGTTAGATAGTACTACTAAAGGTTCATAGTACTACGATATATCTTAAAGTAAGCCTTCAAAGAAATTAGTGAAGTCCTGGACTAACTAATTATTAAATATTCGAATCTTTATTATTCTGAGATCTGCTTTAATAGCTAATATTTGTATTTTATATTCTAGGAATAGCTATTTCTTTAGTAGAAGCTAGTGTATAAACTTAGTAACTTCTTATAGTATACTATTAAGTCGGGTAAACTAAATACGCTTCTTAATAGTCGCGTGAACGTAGTCTCTTACTATAGTAGCCTATATAGTAGAGTCAACTATTCCTTCTATTACTATATAGTCCTTTATTTCAAGGATCTAAAATCGTAGATTATTCTTTAGTAGCGTGAATATAGAGGGAGTTTTGCTCTATAGTTAATCTCTAGAGCGGCTTAAGTATTCCGGAAGTACTACTACTATTAGGTATAGAGGTACTAACAATTGTTCTAAGATAGGATTATTTATATAACTAAGCAGACTAGTTAATTCTAGGAAAACTAGGAGACCTCTTAGACTAGGGGGAAGGCCTTTTCTAGCTAGTTATTCTACTATTATAGCGTAAGGTAAAGTACTACTTATTATTAGAGTAGCTCTGAAATATCCTTCTTAACTTAGAAAACCTATTATTTATTAGTGTTCTATAGCTTATATCTTTATAGATATAGTTTAGTTTAGCTCTTTAAGGCAGTTAATCTCTTAGAGTTATACTTCAATTATAGCTTAAGAGCTACGTGAAAAGTAAGAGCGTAGTAAGAAGTTATAATAAGTTAGTAAGTTACTATAAGTTCTCTATAGAGAGTCTTAGAGGCGTTAGCAGCTTTAGGAGTATTACGATATTAGTAAGTTTTAGTAGTTCTCTTACTCGCTCTCTACTTATACTTAGTAGCTAGCAGTTAGAAAGGGAGAGTCTTTACTAATAAGATTCGAATCTTCGTTTTTAATACTACAGATACGTTCTAAATTTATAGATAATAAGTTTAAGGAGTCTAGATTATTATATGCTTAGTAGCCGGAGCCTTCTCTATTTTGGAACTTATAGTTATACTAAGCTCTAAGGCGTTTATTAATAGTTCACTAAGCGAGGGAATCTTAATCTCTTGCTTTTATAATTAAGATAGTCGCTTAGCTATATCTAGATTAATCCTTTACTTAGAGAGTATCGCTTTTTTTATTAGTTATATTAGTTAGGTAGTATTAGTAGGTGCCCGGTTAAGGTCTAGCTATAGCGGTACCGCGGTATCTTAGTAGAGGGGCTCTAGGTGGATCTCTCTCTTTAGTTATTCTCTTTACTATACTACTTAAAGGAAGTTTTAGAGTATTATAGGGTACCTGAAACATAAGGAGTAAAGAAGTAATATTATATTAACTAAAACTTAAGGAGAGCTATAGAGCTTAAGAGACGTGTAGCCTTTAAGGGCTGCAGCTTGCCTGAAATAGCAGGAGCCCCTGATATACTATTAGCTAAGGAGCTATAAGATAGACTTATTAGAGCTAAGATTTTTACTTAGCTTAACTTATAAGAAGTATATAACTTTATTAGAATAGCTAAGAGTAAAGAAGAGAAAATAGTATTTTATACTCTTTTTAGTTACTATAAGTATATAGTTATACTTTTTAGCTTAACTAACGTACTAGCTATATTTTAGTATCTAATTAATAATATTTTATAGCCTTACTTAGATATAATATATATATACTATTTAGATAATATACTAGTCTATTTTAAATCGGAAGAATAATATATAAAAGATATTATAACTATCTTCTAAAGGCTAGAAAATACTTACTTATTACTTAAACTAGAAAAGTATAACTTTTATATAAATAAGGTTATCTTCTTAAGCTATATAGTTATTATTATAAGATTAGCTATAAATCCTAAAAAGATTAAAGTAATTATTAAGTAGATAGGACCTATAAATATTAAAGAAGTATAATTATTCCTTAGGTTTATTAACTTCTATAGATAATTTATTAAAGATTACTTGAAAATCGCTGGGCTACTTATAGAGTTAACTTATAAGAATAAGGAATTCTATTAGTCTAATAGCGTATAAAAAGTATTTAAAGTACTTAAGGTAGCTTTTTTTATAGAACTAGTACTTACTTCCTTTACTTTTAATAAAGAAATATATATAGAGATAGATTCTTTAGATTATACTATTAGAGTTATACTTAGCTAGCTAAGTAAGAATAGAAAATAGTAACTAATTACTTACTATTCGCAGAAACTATTATTAGTAGAACTTAATTATAATATATATAATAAAGAATTACTAGTAATTATAGATATAATATATAAATAGAAAGTCTACTTTAAAAGCGCTACCTACGAAGTATAGATCCTAATAGACTATAAGAATCTTATTTACTTTATAACTACTAAAGAACTAAACTAATAATAGGTTTATTAATATAAAATACTCTCTATTATTAAGCTTCGAATTTCTTATATTAAGGAAATAGAAAATACTTAAGCTAACGCTTTAAGCTAGAAACTAGAATATCTTATAAATAAGACTTATAAATCTTATATTATATTATAGAAAGATAGCGATTTATTAGTTATTAATAGCTAATAGCTAGCTATAATAAAGTCGCTAGTTATAAGAAGAATCTAGAAAAGCTATACTAATAACTTAGTTATAGCTAAATAGCGATAATAACTAAGTAAAGGATTTTCTTTCTCTCTAGGAGGAACTCTCCTATTCTAGAGATAAATTTATATACTTACTTAAGACTAAGCTAAATTCGTTATAAACTTCTATAAGCTACTTACTTATAGATATTAAGAGTTAGCTAAGATATTATCTAAGCTATTTAAGAAGTACTACTTCCTAGGTATAAGGAAGGTAATTAAAGATATAGTAGTATTATATAATATATATATCTAGAATAAGGCTATATACTATATTTTATATAGACTTATAAAGTTATTAATAATACTACCTCGCTTATAGAAATTAATCGCTTTAGATTTTATAGTTAAACTACTACTCTTAAAAGACTTAATTATAGGAGTTATATATAACTTAATTTATATAATAATAGATAAGTTTATAAAGTATATATATATAGTACTAGTACTTAGAATATAAGATAAGCTTATAATAGTATAAGTATTCCTTAGAATAATCTTTATAAGCTACAGAATACTAAATAAGATTATCTTAGATAGAGATAAGCTCTTTACTTTAAAGTTCTAGAAAATACTAATAGTAATCCTAGGGATAAAACAGAAATTATTAATAGCGTTTTACCTTTAAATAGATATATAAATAAAATAAATTAATCAGATAATAGAGACTTATCTATAGTATTATATAAACTATAAATAAGATAACTACGTATAATTACTCTTACTTACTTAGTTTATATATAATAGCGCGGATTAAGAAACTATTAAGGTATTATTATTTTATATGAACTATAGAGTTAACTTAATAGTATATAAACTATTAATTACAAGTTAAGAGACTATATAAGAAGCTATATTATAAGTAAGTAAGCTTAAGTAGCTCTATAAAGAATTATTAGCTAATATTCTCTTTATTATATAGAGATCTATGATCTATTATAATAAAAAGTATAGTATAAGACTAATACTTAAAGAGAAAGATAAGATCTACTTACTTAAGAAGAATATTATAATTAAATAACTAAGTTATAAATTAGATTATAAGAAGCTAAGACTATTTAAAATTACTAAAGTTAAAGGACTAGTTAATTATTAACTAGCTCTACTAAAAATAATAAATATCTACTTAGTATTCTATATATCTCTCTTTAAACTAGTATTATTAAGAGTACTATTAGCTTCTATTACTAAAATCGAACTAATTAACTTAATTACTAAATATAAAGTTAAAGTTATTCTTAACTATTAGTATTTCTATAGTAAGCTAAAATATTTAATTAAATAGAAAAAGTACTTATAATTAAAAAATACCTAAGAACTTAAGTTTAATCTCTACTACTTTAAGCTTCTTTAAGACTTCTATTAATAAAATCTAAGTTTACTTAGAAAGAAAAGGACCTAAGGTCTAAGACTAAGCTCTTAAAGAAAGATATAAGATAAGTATTAAGCTTAAGAGTAAAGAACTAAGAGTTAAAGTTATTCTTAATAAGCTTAAGAGAAGATATTAAAAAATAAGTAAGAGTTATAGTCTTTTCTATCTTAAACTAATATATAAGCTATTTAGAAGTAAACTTCTTAATATACCTTAAGGTATTATAATTATAATAAGTTAAGTAAATATACTTAAAGTATCTTTTTAAAATAAATAAATCTAAGAAGTAAGTATAAGAAAGGCTATAATAAAAGGAATAGAGCTTTATAAGTTATATAGTATACTTAATATAAAGTATAAGCTAGATATTCTATTTTTTCTTTATCTAAGTAATACTCGATTTCTTTATAATACTAGATATAATAGATAAGGAAGATAGCTATTAGTAGCTATTAATATTTCTTAAGTTATACTTAAGTATAAAGGCTATACTAATATAAGAGAGAGATAATATTATAAACCGCCTAGGAGCTTAGTACTCTTAAAGAGATTCCCTTAAGTACTTAAGGGCTCTTAAGTAAGAAAAGCTAAGAGATTATAAGCTTAAAGAGATATTTACTCTTAAAAGAAGTCTTTTAAGAGGTAAGAGCTCCTAAGAGAACTCTTCTCTTAGGATTTTATAGTACTATAATAGTTATATATATTATATAATCTAAGTACTATAGTTAAAAGCGCTAGTTCTAGTAACTTAATATTATATAATAAATCCTTAGATCTCTAGATCTTATAATAAGAGAAGAGATCTAAGGATCTATAAATCTAGTACTTAAGAGATTTATAAGAATAAAGGTTCTATATAAGACTAGTATATCTACTATTAGATAAGAGCTTTATACTTAACTTTAAATAGTATTCTAATACTTAGTAACTATCTTCTTATTTACGTGATACACCTACTTCTTAATTATTAGAGATTAACTACAGCTTTCTGTATTTATAGCGAGTACATACCGGACCGTTACATAGATCCACTCCGTTTTGGCTTGCTCGGATCTCGACTGCCAGGATAAGAAGTGGAACTATCCCCTCAACTGCCGCATTAAACACACTTTTTACAGGGAGTTTATAGCCCATAGCGAAACCATAATGAAGTGAAGAACGCTGACATTTGAATAGTGCATTAAACTCCAGGTGATTAAGCTCAAGTTGTCTATTCCATCGGAATTTGATGACGACAGTGTTGCAATACCCGAAGCTTTCACATAGCTCAGCCGTAGTGCCTACATGATCTAAATTCAACGTTGAAGACATGTCTTACGAATATGCTTAGCAACTGCTGATGGTGACAAGTCAAGAACGTCAGATTTCGTCGGGAAGAGGGCTGTTAAAAATTCTGTAGGCGGAGTGGAGGATAAGGAAGTTGGCAGAGTTGCTGTATCTATCTTAAGTGATTACCTCAACAATTAGAGGACGCCAATCTGCCATGCTCTCTCCTGCACCTGCACCGAATCTGGTGTGATGAAAGTTCTAGGATAACGGCTTAATGTTTTCAAGCAGAAAACTCGGATGTCAGAAGTACAGTGGAGAGAGCTTTCAGAAGAATCATGGCACCTTACAAATCTTGAGCAGAAGCCCAGAAATGTGGAATGGAAGCTGAAAAAAATCCGAGAAGGGTTCATAAGTAATGACAGATGCTCATATCGCAGGTGCAGCTTCAGGCTATCTTAAAGGCGAGAGCAGTTCCTTCACATTGAGTGCTGGAAATTGTTCATGCAGGGAGGGATGGAAAAAGTTTCGCATTGTTTTAATATGAAGCGCTGGATTACATGCTCTTCTATACATGGTTCTAAGAAAGCCTATTCAACTGCGAATAGCCCGTGGTAGCCGTGACATCTTTAATAGGTCCTGACAACAACGGCAGTGGCGTCTCAGGATGTGGATTCGGGACCCAATTTCCGTGAACTTGATTGCGCAACTGGAAGGGTAATTGTACAATGGCGACAGGCTTTGAGAAGTCCTTGCAGTCGAGTATCACCAGTTCTCCCTTGTGTGATGACTCGCTCGAGGTATAGAAAATGATCCAGCCATCGCCCTCTTCACAATCAGGCCCTCGAGGAATGTACGCCGGCTCGGCAATACTCCCGCCATCATAAGCCTGAAATATCGACTTCTCGCCAGTCTCTGTGTTCAGTTTGATGGCGGCATTGAAGCAGGGTCGTGTATCCTCGTCTGGGACAATCATGCCGCCCATATAAACGATCTTAGTCTTTCGACCGGTCATTCGCTCGTCGAAAATAGGAAAATCGAAGATGCCCTCCAAAAGTGTCTCAGGTGCCGGCAGGGTAGTTCCATCTGGCTTGGAAAGATCCAGTGTCCAGCGTATCCAGTCACCGCTGGGCTTCCCTTTAGGGCCTTCGTAGTCTTTTGGATTCCAGAAATCAAACACATTGAAGGTCAAGAAGTGACTTTCAAGTTTCAAGATGCCATCTTCCTCCTCCCATGCGTTGCCAGTGTGGATAATCAACCCTGGAGGGGCCAGATACCTACGGAATTCGCCAGCTTTCCAGTCTGGGTGATTCGGGGAGTTTGCCTTGCGTGGAGTGACAAGGAGTTCCGAAGGTTGGTCGGGGATAAATCTCCAGTAGTCACCCCCAGCTTTCATTTCCTCGTCGGAATTGACAGTAAATGGCATATTGGAAAGGATAATCCAATTATCGGTGATCCAGCCATCGTGTGGCCACCCGGGCTTATCTTGTTTGAACCAATTTTCGTTTGAGATGCGTCCATTGGGGTCAACTGAGTAAGTGCAAATGTCTGGAGTGCTGAGGCCTTTGGCGGAATAGCTCCATGTGACCAGCTCATTCTTGTGGGGGTCAATCTTGGGATGGGCGGCAAAGGTTTTCGCAATTATCTGACCTCCAAATGGATCTGCACCTCTTGTGTCCAGAGTATCCGGATCCAGAGCGTATGGTAGACCCCGCTCTGCCAAGGCGAGAACGTTGCCGCCCCAGTAGATGATATTGGTATTGGCAGTGCTGTCATTCGCAAGCCGCACACATGGATGAATGTCGAAAGGATTCCTGTAACGACCAAAGAGTCGTTGACCTGCCTTGCGTTCCAAAAGCCATCTCTCGGTGTGCACGTACTTGATCTTCATAGAGACCTTGCCGTCTTGGATGCGGAAGGCGGAGACATGCCCATCCCCATCCACGAAGGGCGTGCCCTTCGGCGGGGTGAAGTGAGGGTCTATGAGGATGCGGTACCAGGTTCCATTGATCTCTTTGGGGATCTCACCAAAGACGACCATCTCGTCCATCTCACATTCGAATCGGCCTTGCGGGGCAGAGTCGGAAGGATGGTAGTAGTGTTCCCATGGTGAGGTGAGCCCGAAGCGGCGGCTATGTTTACTCTTTTCTTCATCGAGAGGCACCGTGTGGGCAGGCTTCGCAACCTCGATCGGGGCGGTTACCGCTGCGACTTCGTGGTGTGTGGCGTAAGAGTCAACACGCTTGTCGATAGGCCCCGTGTGCGTTGCCGGCGCGATCTCGATCTGGGCGGTTGCCATTGTGTATTGAGCGTGGTCTGGTGTAACTCTTGCTGGGAGTTCGTGTGTGGCGCAAGAATCTGTACATCTGTTCCCAAGAGAGCACTATTTAACTATATATGATTGTTGCTGCTACCCTGCAGTCGGCTTCACAATCTGCTGGCAATCATCCTTGGAAAGCCGCGGAAAACACAATGCTCGCGGCGGAAGTTTCCGCAGACCTAACGATTTGACGGGATTCAAGATTCATCTGTCAAGGGCGAATAAGTGGTGTTGAGGTGAGGTGAGGTGAGGTGACGACGCCGGCCCGTCCGCAAAATACCTACCTAGGTATCTTACCTACCTACCTTACCCTCGTCTGGGCACATCACATGGGCTGATGAGAACCTGAACCTGGAAGTCAAAACGGTCCTCATGACCAGCAGTCTGGACCGAAGACCAAGCAGCTACAGTAGTAGTACAGTAGTACTCGATCAGGCATTCCATTCCATTGGCATTATTGCGTCTCCACCAGAGCCGAAATGAGTTTCTCGTGGCAGTTCCAGTAGTAGATTAGCTCCCATCTCCAGACCCAGCCTGCATGGCATGCTCCGCTCCCCACAATTGAGTGACTTAGGTTGGTTTGTGACTTACAGTACAGCAGTAGTTTTTAATTTTGTTCCGCGGAAAGGAAACCTGGGGTGGGGTGGGGTGGGGTGGACCCCAGGTGGACCCCAGGTTTCGACACCCCAATGGAAGCGGAGCCGAGTTGGATCCCCACCACCTCACCCACCCACCACCCCACTACCATATCACCACCACCTGGGCCTGGGCCTGGGCCTGGGCGCAGGCGCAGGCGCAGCTCCTGCATATCTAGGCGAGCCAGAACCATGCTCCTGGTACTGGGACCGACTTAATACTTAATGGTTGCTTACAAGACCCTTGCTCCCACCTCTCTACCTCGACCTCGACCTCGACCTCGACCTCGACCTCACCTTTTACCTCTCTGTCCCTTTCCTCAGATCTACACATTCACTGCCCCAACCCCAACCCCAACCCCAACCATACAATCATGGCTTCTCAGCCCGAAAACGACTTCGACAGCTCTGATATCGCGGCTGTTCGTCTTCAACCTGTTAACACTTTGGGCCATGTTCGACTTCAAGACGAAGCAGGCACAAGGCTCCTCGTTCCCCGGCCTTCGTCAGACCCCAATGACCCTCTTAACTGGTAAGCAATCCTCCCTGTATCCTAGACGGTATCTGCATCCTTAAAGCTCCCCAAACCGCTAATTATTGTTTGTTATTCTTAGGTCGCAGCCTTTCAAGATTTACATCGCACTGCTGACTTGTACGGCATTGACTTGGGTCAATTTTTTCGCAGCTGGTCCTTCGACTGTTCTGGTCGAGATAGTCATCGACGTGTTTGGTACTTATCCACCAGACCCCCGAAATCCGGCCTCTCTATCCCCATCGTCGATTAAGGCATTCCAGAACGCGGTCACCAAGGCAGCTTTCCTTTTCTCCACAACGTCTGTATCCGCTGGCGTGGCCAACCTTTTGTGGGTCCCACTCGCCGTAAAATATGGCCGCCGCTCAGTGTATACCTTTTCTTTTCTCGCTTTTGGTCTCTGCTGTATCTGGTCGGCACGTGCTACCTCTTACAGTACGCTACTGGCATCAAGAATCATAGCATCTTTTTTCTCGGGCGGCGCTGAGTGTGTCGCTCCTATGACCATTGCGGATGTGTTTTTCCTTCATGAAAGAGGTCAAATGACGGCGTACGTACAATTCTCAATATCAGTCCCGATGCTCAAATACTGACTAGTTACTGCTTCACAGGATGTACTCGGCTGCACTTTCGACAGGTGCCGCCCTCGGACAATTCTTATCTGGGGTCATGTCAATCTCACAGTCCTGGAGATCGTTCCACTACTTGTGCGCTGCTGTTGTGCTGTTTACGACAGCCTTAATCTTTTTCACTATGCCTGAGACAGCATATCAACGAGTTATCCCAGAAACAGAGGAACGGACTACGACAGATTCCAAGGAGGAGGTTACAAATGTGTCACAAGTGGAACGTGTCGATTACCCCCCCAAGAAAACCTTTACTCAGCGGATGGCCTTCACTCGTACTCATCTCACGACTGAGTCAATCTGGAAAATCGCGTTCCGTCCCCTTCCAATCCTATTGTTACCCCCAGTTCTTTGGTCCACGTTGTCCTTCGGCATAGGAATTGGTATCTTTGTCATCATGGGAACCACAGCCGCAACCGCTTTCTCGCAGGTGTATCACTTTACAGTTTGGCAAATCGGATTGGTCTGGATCGCAAGCATTGTAGGCAACCTGCTGGGCATTCCTTTTGGTGGATGGCTCTCGGATTGGGTGGCCGACCGCGCTACTACAAGGAATGATGGTATTCGGGAGCCGGAAATGCGCCTCCCAGCCGTGAGCGTTGCCATGATCGCCTATCCCGGATCACTTCTTTTATACGGTCTGGGGATGCATTTCAAGACGCATTGGATTGTGCCCGTATTGGGCGTGTTCGTTTGTAAGAGATCATTTTAATCACGAGTAAGGAGAAACAGTTTTGCTGACCTTTTCAACTAGTCTCCTTTGGAAGTAGTGCGGCGATTGGTATTACTGTGGTTTACACGATCGACTGCTACAGGCCAATTGCTGGTGAGGTCGTGGTGAGCCAGGTGGTCTTCAAATGTAAGTTATCCACCCATCGAGGATGGCTCCAAAATTATTCTGCTGACCAGTGGAACTTGCAGCTGCCATTACCTTCCTCATGTCATTTTACGCGAACCCCTGGGTCGATCGGGACGGCTATGCAGGAGCGTTTGCGACTATGGCAAGCTTCAGCTTCGTCATCCTGGCACTCTGGATTCCGTTGTACATCTGGGGCAAGCAGATCCGCACTGCGACTTTCAAATGGCGTCTGATGAAACTTGCCCATTGGGATGTGGACAGGGAGACTGGTGAATAGGCGTGTCGACTACACAGGTAGACTCCGTCCGAATAGATTGGTGCTAGCATTGTTCGTAGCCAGATGTTTGGCGCCATCCATATCCACACATAATTATTCCCATCTCTTAAAAAAAAAAATGAGACCACGTTCAAGGAATTTACCCTAAGCGACTGAGAACAAGTGTGCGGAGTTGTAGACAGCAGGTTAAAAGTTGGGTGTGGAGTCGACGAAAGATGAAGTGCAGCGCGACAATATCCTCACCTCACCCATGTTCAAAATCATCTCATGTTACCACTTGCAAGCTACCTAGGCTTACTGTCTGGTGGACTTTGCAGTCCACAAAGTACTTCATTTGCGAGGATCTTTTTGGGGCACAAGACATATCGAAGTCCGACAGTGGCATCACGTACAAAGGCAGCTAGCCGCGGACGTGATACATGGTTTGGCACAGTGCTGTTGAGCCTACCTATGTAGGTAGACAGCCACGACCAAACATGACCTGACCCTGACTAGGTACTGCAATGTGTCCGCTCACAAGCGAGCGTCGTTCCCGCACGAAGCGCAGTTCGCATAAGAGAGGCGGCAGACCACGAGACCACCTGCCAGCCGTTGTTGGGGTTGGATTCGGACTTTCCAGCTCGTCTCGTCTTTCTCCACATCCCCACCGGGATGGAAGTGGAAGTGGAAGTGGAAGTGGACCTGGACCTGGACCTGCGCCTTCTCTCCTCCCCTCCCCCACAACATTATTCGTGTCACAGACTCACGGTGGCATCGCCCAAGAGGTGGAGATGTGGAGAGGCGGGGTTGGAGGCATTGCTTAGTGTTGCAGTCAGACTACGGCAAAGATCGCGGCTACGATCAGGCCAAGAACTCACACAAGCTCTGGTCCTGAGTCAGCGTCTTGATTCCGCGGAAGCCCAGCCCTGCTGCCTCGACAATTCGGTAGTGGTATGTATTAACGTATCTTTTGCAGGGCACCCTGGGACCGCGGCTGCCGCCAAATTAGTTCTTGGAAAGCTCTTGTATATTGCATGAAAGGGTTCTCTATCGCTGCTGCAAGCCGAGACCGCATCTCACTTCCATTCTATCGCCAAAAAACCCCCCCTTGTCAACGAGGTTCCTATCCCATATACACAACACCACCACCTCCTCTGCCCGAAGCTGTACAAATTGAACCCGTTTCATGCCTGTTCATTATAGGTCTGATTTTACCTTATCAGCAAGATGTGAGGAAAAGCCCACGTTAATAACCGAAAACAAGCTGACCATTCGAGCAGGGAGTATACAGCATCATCAGCCTTTTTCGAGGCGCTATGGGAGGTATGTATACAGCCATGATACCAGAGAATACTGGTCTGCTTTGAAGCTCTGCTAATCTGCTTTTCTATTGGCCGGCGTGCGGTATTGCTTTGTGAATTTAGGATCGGATCATCCTAGCATCATGGAGGCGATGGTCAAAGGGCAGCGCGAAAGGCCAGACAGATTCCCAAAATTCATCACCTGTCCGAGCGAGATGGTGGCACTTTCAATAGCGGATGGGTATGCTCGTGTCACAGGAGAACCTCAAGCTGTGATTGTGCATGTTGACGTCGGTACACAGGCACTTGGCTGTGCCGTACACAATGCGAGTGTCGGCCGGGTGCCTGTGTTGATCTTTGCTGGTCTCTCGCCATGCACGATGGAAGGCGAGTATCGCGGCAGCAGAACCGAGTTCATCCACTGGCTTCAAGATGTTCCAGACCAGAAAGCGATAGTATCACAGTACTGTCGTTATACTGCCGAACTGAGAAAGGGCAAGAACATTAAGCAGATGGTCAATCGAGCTTTGAGCTTCGCCACAAGCGAGCCGCGAGGTCCAGTCTACCTGCAAGGGGTGCGGGAGGTCATGGAAGAAGTGATAGAGCCGTATGACATTCGACAGGAGTTTTGGAGTCCTGTGGCACTTGGCGGATTGACTCCGAATCATCTGAACGTCGTTGCCGAGGCCTTAATATCTGCCCGGGAGCCCCTAGTTATTACGGGCTATTCTGGACGGGATACTGCCATAGTGCCCTTGCTTGTAGAGTTAGCAAACATTCTCAAGGGCCTGCGTGTACTCGATACCATGGGTTCGGACCTCTGCTTCCCCGCAGATCATCCAGGCTGGCTGAGCGTCCGGTACGGATCGGACGACGCCATAAGAACGGCCGATGTGATACTAGTAGTTGACTGCGATGTGCCATGGATCAACACACAATGCAAACCTGCCGATGGAGCCAAGATCATCCATTTCGATGTTGATCCTCTGAAACAACAAATGCCTCTCTTCTACATCGATGCGATCCTACGATGTCGCGTCAATACGGTATTCGCGCTTGGCCAAATTGTCGAGCATTTGAAGACCGAGCTCTCAGGTCGTATCAGCGCGAACCAGGAGTATTATGCAAAGCGCTGGTCCGCTCTTGAGGATTCATATACTCAAAAGCTTAAGACGATAGCTTCTCAGGCTGAGCCAAACTCTGACGACTCGTTCGGATGCGGCTACTTGATCTCACAAGTCCGGAAAGCATGCCCAGTCGATACTATCTGGGTCGTGGAAGCCGTCACCAACACATTCACAGTTGCAGATCAGCTCCAGGCAACATTACCTGGAAGTGTGTTCAGCTCCGGCGCGGGTGGACTGGGTTGGTCGGGCGGCGCGGCTCTGGGTATCAAATTGGCCACTGATGTTCGTCATGGGGGGAAAGGTAAGTTTGTATGTCAGATCATTGGTGATGGCTGTTTCCTATTCTCGATACCTTCTAGCGTGTATTGGATCGCGCAGAGGTACAACATACCAGTGCTGACCATAGTACTCAATAACAATGGTGAGTTGACCCCTCGCAACCTGCCTCAGCGCCACAGTTTGACGGTGAGCTGACAACAAATATTTTACAGGCTGGAACGCGCCTCGTAAATCTTTACTTCTCGTCCACCCAGACGGATTGGGGTCCAAAGTCACCAACGAAGAGCTCAACATCTCTTTCGAGCCAAACCCAGAGTACTCCATGATCGCCAGGGGCGCCTCAGGAGGAAAATGCTGGGCGGAGCAAGTCAGTTCTATGAAAGAACTGGCACGAAAGTTGCCCGAGGCCGTAGCCGCTGTACAAAGTGGCATTTCCGCCATTCTGGATGCTCGTCTAGCCCCCGCCGTCTAGAATACGGTGCATTTTAAAAAATCGGAAGACCAGTGAAAGCGAGATGGAACATTTCGAGAAATAGACCGAAGTAGACCTAAGGAGTTGACTGTATAAAGTCTCCAAACGCTGTATGCTTCAAAAATATTAGATGATTCTAGATTCACAATTGGATATATGCTATTTTGCTCAAACTCAGCCGAATTTGGTCACACTGTGTTCACTGAACATCTACCTCCTATCTGGTCGAATTAACCCTCTCCAGTAATCCAGGCGCCGCACAGCGCTCACCTGTTGCAATTTGATGTAAGTTGCATGAATGTTTTTATTTCTTGTCATATTTGGTAAAGGCTCCTATTATGACATGGTGCAATCACTGCTCTACGAAGGGTACATGATTTCAGGTGTGTCAGGATACCTAACAAGAATCTAATTAGGTGCCGAGCTAGCGCCAAAGTCTACAGTAACCTTTCGAGGCTCTGAGCGGTCTGTTCCACGGAATGTTTAATTGAGTCATGGCACTGAACGGAACTATTTAAGGTCCGCGGAAGTTAGCCTGGATGCGGACGCCAAATCGGCAGTGCAATCATTCCTTATATCTAACAACGGAATGATTAAAAATCCATAAACACTTGTCAAGACCTGCGTGTAATCTCTATTTTACTAGGAAAGACCAATTGACAATCTTTCTAAACCAGCTGCATCATGACGGGACCGAAGCTCGAGTTCGAGGGCCTTGCCATTCCATGGGTACCCACGGTCCGACCCGAAGATACCACGAGCATGAATCCATACAAGAAGCAGACTCAAAACACGAAGAAGCTTCCCGTGGGTTGGACATTTGCGGAAGGCAGACGCGCTGTGCACGAAGAAATCACATTTGATGAAGTGGTTGAAATTCCGCTTAGGGACGGGGCCAAGGTCCGTGACAGCAAACATTCTGCAGATAGCTTACTGATCTAATGACCAAGATCTACTGTGATATTTTCAGGCCCGTCACGGATAATCCAGTTCCCGCGATATTAGCCGTAAGCCCATATGGGAAAAATGGACATGGTACGTGAATGGACTTGATATGCGAGCTAGGAACAAATCTGACCGTGATGCCGTCAAAAGGATTCCGGATCTTTGACAACATTCCGTTCCGGCTCGGACTACCGGAGAGTGCAACATCTGGTCTAGAGAAGTTCGAAGGGTGAATGGCTCTGAATCGAGGTATCAGGTAAACGCACTAACGTGGCGATGTAGGCCAGATCCTGTAGAATGGTGCCCTCGGGGGTATGCAATTGTCAACGTAGACATACGAGGCACTTGGGATAGTGAAGGCAATCTCTATATCGAGGGAAGCCAGATGGGTAAGCTGCTGCTCTATCATTAGGAAGAGTTGACCGGGAGATTAATGATAAAAAATCAGGAATTGATGGCTACGACACTGTTGAATTCATCGCATCACAGCCATGGTGCAATGGTGCCATCAGCATGTGTGGAAATTCGTGGCTGGCAACGGAGCAGTGGACGACTGCCATCCAAAAGCCACCTTCACTCAAGTGCATCGCACCTTGGGAAGGGTTCACGGACATGTATCGCGACTTGATTTGTCGCGGCGGCGTCCCCAAAGGTAGCTTTACTTCGTTCATCTTCAACAAAACGATTCGTGGCCGAAATCAACGGGAAGATATCAGCGGCGCGCTCGCCAAGTGGCCATTTTTCAATGCATACTGGCAGGATAAAGTCTATGACACCAGCGATCTAACGTTGCCCATATATGCACTTGCAAGCTATTCTTCGGGAAATCATGGTTCTGGTACCGTGAGAGGCTGGAAAAGAGCGGCCTCAAAGGACAAATGGATCCGCTTTCACCCAACTCAGGAGTGGTTTGACCTCTACACACCAAGATACGTCGACGACCTGCAACGGTTCTTCGATCGTTATCTGAAGGGTATTGACAATGGATGGGAGAAAACTCCTAAGGCCCGGGTTTCTATTCTCACCTATGGGAATCGATTTGAACCTGTGCGTTGACATGCCACACAGCTTTAAGAATTGATCTGACACTTTTTGATAGGGCCCAAAATGGGATGTGCCATTCGCCGACTATCCGATTCCAGACACTGAGTACCGTAAACTCTATCTACAGGACACTGGAAAGCTGGCCACCTCACAGCAAGCCAACGAGGGCTCTGTATCCCATCAATCAGATAGCTACCAGGCAAAGCCGTCTGAGTTTGTGCTGACGTTCGACAAAGCGACCACTATTGTTGGCCATTCAAAAGCGGAACTTTGGATGTCTTGTAGGGACAAAGATGACTTTGATGTTTATGTGTCCATCCGCAAGCTGAGCAAGAGCGGAGAGGTGTTGGAGCATGTGAACGTTCCATGGGAAAAACTTCCCGAAGGTGTCAACACCCAACACGATGTTCCAATGGCACAAACGATCAAGGTAAGGAGTTCTGTCCAGCCCTACACGAAGTGAGAAAGCATAAAGACTGCAGTCTGACCAGATTTTTGTCATAGTACACTGGACCTACCGGTATCCTTCGTGCTTCGCATCGTGCGCAGGTCCCAGAACGGAGCACCCCCATGATCCCGTACCACCCGCACGACAAAGAAGAAAAGGTTCCAAGAGGCGAAATTGTTAAGCTGGGCATCTCTCTTTGGCCTATGGGTATTCACTTCGAAGCCGGGGAAGGCCTGCTATTCCGTGTCCAAGGTTTTGTTGATACTAGCACCGATTTTCCAAGTCATATCGATACGAAACTCGAGAACCTGAACGAAGGTCAACATACAATTCATTTCGGTGGAAAGTATGACTCGGCGATAATTGTCCCTGTCGTTAACCTACCCACGCAATAAAGTAGCACACTTAGCCATGGAGCCTATTTTTGTTTAGCGTGATCATGGTTACTGGATCCGGGTTCGCTTCAAGCTGCAAAAGATAGAAGGTCATTCTTGAATTTTCATAGAAATAAGAAAAACCCACCGAACTCGGATGTGTGGAATGTATCACTTCCTAGTTTCCTACCCTACAGTAATGTGGTGTGACATGCCCTCGTAATTGTTCTGCCATGAGAATATTTCCTACTTACATCAATATTTCCCCTCGCCTTCCATATACTAGATTTATATGCCTTGAAAACCATCATGTAGAATCAAGATGGGAGTGACGACGTAGCTAGTTATTCTACCAAAACCATTTATGAGTATTTTGATTTGGTCAAAATAGATGAAGTGAAAGCAAGCCCCCGCCCCCATCTCTTCTCGCCTAGGTGGGTATGCAAGACGGAAGCGGAAGCTTTGTAGAGGTAGTGTTTCACCTGCGCACCTGCGTATATTACAGCAGCGCATGCGTAAGCGATTTTTAGTCAGAGAGCCTAGTGTATACGCCTGGACTAAAATCTTAGCAGCGTATACTACCTCTCCTACACTAAAGGACACTGAAATATCTACGAGAGGTAGTTTATAAAAAATCTAAAGATACCTAACACTCTATATAAATAAATATAACTCTTACTGCGCTAAAGGACTTTAGGTAGTTAAGATTCTTATATATTTATTTTATATTATTATTTTTACTTGGATTTTTAAAAGCTATATTTATTACTATTATATAGAGCTCTTAAGGTTTATTAGTATCTCTTCGTTCGCTGAGACATTAATACGCTAGTAGAAGTAGTACGGCTTAGTGTATAAGGGCGGCTAAACGTATTATTTTATATATTTATTAGTATTATACCGATAAACAAATAACAAGTATATATCGATATACGTTAAAATCTAAGGTTTAATTTAAAGGTGTTTAAAAGTGTCTAAAGGTATATATTATAAAGAGTATTTAAGGGTTAAAATATATATTACCTCTTAAATAACCCTTAGTTTGTATTTAAAGGAGGTCCTTCCCCTAACTAAGATTATTTATTCCTCTTAACTACCCTTTATACTTTTATAATATAAGTCTATAGATTAATATTAATAAAACTCCTTTTAAAAATAAAAGGTTTCTAATAATTATAAAAGGAGTAAAATAAAGAATATAAATATAATAAGAAAAACTGAAGATATAATAAAGTAATAAATATTTAACTTATAAAGCTTAATAGTTAGAATATCTCGAAGTACTATTTAAAAGCGCTCTTATTAGGAAGCGAGGATATAAATAAATGGTAATCTATTATTAAATAATATTTTAAAATATAGAGAATATATATAAACTTATAAAGAATTAAATAATATTATTATTAAGTTAATATAAGGCTTTAAGAAGTCGAAAGGCTAATATTCTATTTAGTAATAGTTAATAATACGAAAGTAGAAGATAATAGTAATAGCTAAGTAATAAAAATAAATAATATTATATTATATCGAACACTAGCGCTATGTAAGCTTATCCTAGGCTTAGTATATACTTAGTAAGTATACTATATATATATATAGTATACTCTTAGCCCCTGATTCTAAGGAGTAATATTCTTTTAAATATATCTTTTAATACTATAACTTCTATTTAATCGAGTAAGCTCTCTACTAAATAAAAGCCTACTTTATTATTATATAATAGTTAAGAGCTATATTTATCTCTTAAGTACTTAGTATATATATAATTCTATTACTTTAATTAAGCTTTTTATTAGAACTTCTTAATTACTTCTTAATTCCTAAATCCTTATAACTCTTCTATAATTATATCTACTTTTCTAATAGATCTAGAATCTAGATAATTACTTAGTACTAATATTATATACTTAAAACTAGAAGATTTTTCTATTTAAATAAAGTATTTAATACTAAATACGAATATTCTAGGACTCTAGTCTTATATTAATCTAGAAGCTCTAGATACTCTTTCTTTTACTTAAATCCTTAATAAGCTCTCTTAAACTATAGAGTAAATTATAGTTAATATAATAGCTTATAAGATAGAATTATATAAAATCTCTTATATTAAGTATAAAATAGAGCTTATAAGCTAGGTAATAATATAAGGTTTAAGAACCTTATAAAGCTTTTTAAATAAGAACTCTAGATCTATTTAAGTTATTTTAAAAGCTTTAATATAAGTTATACTAATAAAAGCTTTAGATTATAAAGTAGTAGTAAAAGCTAAGTAGGAGCTATAGAAGATAAATACTAAGATCTAGTAACTTTAAATAACTTAGTACTAAAAGCTCTATAGATAGATTAAGAAAATAATAGTTAAATAGTACTTTAAGATTATAAGTATAGAGATTATTACTAATAAGAGTTTTAATATCTAAGTACTTCTTTAATTACTTAAATATATTCTAAATTAAATAAATAATATTATTTAAACCTTAATTAAGAGTAAATACTAATTATTACTTAAGCTAGTAAAAGGAGCTAAGCTTAACCTTAAGACTTAGATTATATCTTACTAGGAGCTTATATATAAGAGTATCTTATATTATATTCTAAATATAAATAGAATACTTAAGATTATAAACTTCTTAATTACTATAGGTAACTTTAATTATATATAGTCCTATAAGTACTACCTCTAATTTAAAGAAGCTAATAATCTTAAAAAAAAGTAGTTATATACTTTTTTATAGCTTATATAACTATTCTATATAAAGGAAGTTAATATATAGTATTATAAGCTTATAAGTAGTAAAAGTAAGGAATATAATTATTTTATTACTCTTAAAAGAAGAAGTAGTAAAAGGAAAAGTTCTTTTACTTTAAAATCTAATAGTAAAGTAAATTAAGTATTTAAGAAAAAGTACTTATATTCTTAAGATAAAATATATAAGTAAGCTTCTAAAGATTATAATAAGCTTTAGCTAGTAGTATATAAAAAGCTCTTTACTAATACTAGTAAGTATAAACTAAACTTAAGTAAAAAGAAGGTAGAAGAGATCTATAAGCACTTTATAAGTAAATACTAGAAATTACTTAGAATAAAGTTTAGAAGAAGTACTAACTTACTACTTTTACTAGAAATTAAGAGTATTTTATAGAAGTAAGAATTAAGTGAATCCTTAAATAAGCTAAAGAGTTTATTCCTTAGAAACCTAATAAATAAGAGAGAAAGATAACTTAATAATAATTATATTATTATACTCCCGGACTTAGATTAAGTATTCTAGCTTAAAGTCTATTCTACTTAAGGAGCTTATAAGTATTACTCTCTATTAGTAAGTACTCTTCTAGATAATTATAAAACTACTAATCTTATAAATAATAGCTCTCTATTAGAATTAAGCTTATTTATAAAAGCGGATCTATATAATACTATAGAATATAAAAGCTCCTAGTTACTAATTATTAGATATAATACTCGTGTACTTAAAAATATACTTATTAGAATAGATAAGAATACTTTTAACTTTATACTTATAGATATAGCTATAATTAAAGGATTCTATATAAATATTATTTTAGAAGCTTATCTCTAGAACATAAGCTTATAGTACTATAGAATTAATTATATACTTAGATAGCGTGATAATAGTTAATTTATAGGAGATTATCTAGTAGTTTAATAGCTTATTTATAAACTTAATCTTATATTCTTTAAATATAACAGGTATTTAAACTATTCTTCTAACTTCTATAAGATCTTATTTAGTAAAGCTAGTATTATAGTATTTATAAGTGTAAATTATCTAAGGAATCGAATATTCCGCTTATCTTATAATTATAATAAATCTAGCTTAGATTCGGAAATAATATAGTATCTATAATTAAGATACTTAGGTCTAGATACTCTTTAAAAGCTAATAAGAGCTTTAAGAGAAGTAAGAATAACTAATATTATAGGACACTTAAAGTATAAGTATTATATACTTATATATACTACTTAAGTTATATCTTACTACTTATTAAAGTAAAGATTAGTAAGGCTATTCTAGAAGATTAGTTAGAATCTATTTAATTTCCTAGAATACCTTAGAAACTACTTCTAGCTCTTAATACTTAAATATAAATATAATAGACTACTTATTAGTTATATACTCTAATTAAAATCTTATAATAAAGTATTTAAAAGTATTAAAAGCTTTAAGTATTAGGTATATACTTAATTTAAGCTCTCGATTTATAAATTTAAATATAATTAAAAGAAAGTAGTTATTTTAATTTAAGGATTTATAAGGTATAAGATATAAGTAGATAAGCTTAGTATTAAACTCGAGCTCTCTTCTACTATTATATATAAACTAAATAGTATAGTAGAATAAGTTAACTAAAAGGTTATTATATAAGTAGTGAAAATATAACTATTTGTAAATCTCCTTAAAGAACTTAAATTAGAATACGTATTAGTAAGAATCTACTTTTATAATAAATACCTTAGTAAAGGATAAAATTAGAGATTACTACTTAAGGTTAATAACTAATAGTTTTATAACTACTTTTAGTAGTATAATTCTATGATTATAGCTCGTATAACTATAGATTTCAAACTTAACTAAAATAGAATTTATATATATAAATATATATCACGGACTACCTAGGAGCCTAAGGATTCCTAGGTAAGAGGGGCTAGGAGACTATAAGCTTAAGGAGATACTTACTCCTAGAAAGAGTCTTCTAGGAGGTAAGGGCTCTTAGGAGGACTCCTCTCTTAGGATTTTATAAATACTATAGTAGTTATATATATTATATAATCTAAGTACTATAGTTAGAGACACAGGTTCTAGCGACTAATATTATATAATAGATCCTTAGATCCTTAGATCCTTTAGTAAAGGAAAGGATCTAAGGATCTACAGATCTATACTTAAGAGATTTATAAGAACGAAAGTTCTATATAAGGCTAGTATATCTACTATTAGATAGGAGCTTTATACTTAACTTTAAATAGTATCCTAATACTTAATAACTATCTTTCTATT